TACCTGATATCTAGCCCCTATCTTCAAAAGCCCCAGAGCCCCAATCCACCCCTTTCAAAGCCAAGAGTCACCATTTTTGGGTCTCACATCAAAAATACTAGACCTATGGAAGTATTTCCCTCTAAGAACTCTACTAAGGAGAAGGTTAGGTTGAGTAATCACTCTCCAAAGTTGTTTGACCAGCAAGGCAATGTTAAACAATCTCAAATTTTTGAAACCCAGCCCACTCATACCCTTAGGTTTGGCTAAACTATCCCAGCAAATCTAATGATTTTTTTGCCCCCCTTGCTCATTACTACCCCACCAAAAATTAGCCACAACCCTACTAATGTCATGACACACACTAACAGGGAGGTGGAAACAAGACATCACATAAGTGGGGAGGGCTTGGAGAACTGATTTGATCAGCACCTCCTTCCGAGCCAAATTCAAAAAATTATTCTTCCAACAAGATAATCTTTCCACCACACAATCAAAAATAAATTTAAAAGTGTCTCTTTTCTTCCTGCCAATCCCAAGGGGGAGGTCCAAGTATTTAGAGGAGTTCACACATACAATGCCATTCAACATATTATAGATTCTCACCTTGGAAACATCAGGAGTGTTCTTAGAGAACATGATAGATGACTTACTCAGATTGACACTTTGCCCTGAGGCAGAACCAAAGCATTCAAGAATTTGCAGAATAAGATCAGCATGATGCACATCAGCAGTGCAAAAAAGTATAGTGTCATCAGCAAATAACAAATGAGAGACAGAGGGAGAGAATCTACTAATTTTGATACCAGAGTAGAGAGACAAGGCACAGGCTTGAGAAATCAAATTGGACAAAGCTTGTGACAGGATGATAAACAGATATGGAGAAATAGGGTCACCTTGCCTGATGCCCCTGGATGGTTTGACAAAACCAAGAACTTGACCATGAACATTAAAGGAGAAGGATGTAGTATTCAGAAAAGCAAGGATCCAATTGATAGATTGAGCAGCAAATCCCATCCTCCTACACACTAAAGATAGGAAACCCCATTCAACCCTATCATAGGCCTTGGCCATATCTAGTTTCACAGCCATGATACATTTAGACCCTTTTCTTTTACTGTTTATGAAATGAAGACATTCATTGGCTATAACAGCATTATCAAGAATCTGTCTCCCAGGCACAAAGGCATCCTGGGAGTCACTGATACAGGGACTCAACACAACTTTCAGTCTATTAGCAATGATCTTAGAGATAGTTTTATAGATAACAGTACAAAGAGCAATAGGTCTGAAATCAGAGACAAGAGAGGGGTTAGAAGTTTTAGGAATTAAGGTAAGAACAGTGTGGTTAAAACCTTTTGGCATTTTACCAGAAGCAAAAAAGTTGGCAATAGCTGCACAAAAGTGGTGTTTAATGATAGGCCAACAAGACTGAAAAATAGAGCAGTCATGCCATCTACACCTGGGGCTTTGTTAGGTTCCATATCTTGAAGAGACTCAAAAATCTCTGCCTCAGTCACTGCACAAGTCAACTTGAGATTCATATCAGCATCAATAGACATAGGAATACCATTCAAATCACAAGAATCTAACTCAGGTTGTGAGGTACAAAACAGGTTCTGATAGAAGAGTTCCAGTTCACCAACAATCTCCTGCTCATTAACACACCTCCTACCACTAGAATGCATCAGATTATCAAGGTTATCCAACTTCCTTCTATGTTGAAGAGAGGCATGGAAGTATTTAGTGTTCTTATCACCTTCCCTAAGCCACTGATTTCTGGATTTAAGTTTCCAATAAATTTCTTCATCAAGATAAGCTTGATGGAGTTGATTTTTCCATTTACCCCACTCATTCCAGTCTCTCTCGCCTCCTAGAATTTCCAAATCAATAATGGCAACCTGACAGCTCTCTATCATTTTAGCAGAGTTGGTATTCTGATTCTTCTTCCATCTAAGAATGGCCATCCTCACATTTCTAATCCTAGCCTGCAAGCTATACAACAGAGGCCCACTAACAGGGAAATTCCAAGCCTCCTCTACAACCCCCATAAATCCCTCTATCTGAACCCACCTAGCATAAAAAACAAATCTTTTGGGTCTAGGTTTAAGAGAACAATCACTGTCCAACACCAGCATACTGTGATCAGAAGATATAAGAGAAATATGAGTAACTAGGCCATTAGGGAAATGGGACAACCAGCTCTGAGAAAAGAAAATTCTATCAAGTTTGGCCTCAATAAACTCAGGGCCCTGCCTGAGGTTGGACCAAGTGAAATGGTAGCCAATAGTTTTGGTCTCACTCATCTCCATCTTACTAATAAAATCAATGAAAGGTTGAAAACTAGCAGGATCCCTGACTTTACCTCCAGACTTGTCTTGATTAGACAAGATGGCATTAAAGTCTCCCCCTAAGAACCAGTTATCACCCCATTGATCTTTCATTCCCAACAAAGTGGCCCATTGGCCACTTCGGATATCAGCCTCAGTGCTGAGATAAACAAAAATACCCCATTGGGTGACATCACAATTTGTAATATTGAACTTAATACCAATACAGAAATCAAGGTAAAAGTAGTCAAGGACACTGACCTTACAAGACCAAGACAACAACAACCCTCCCCTAGTCCCATAGGGATTGCTAAACATCCAATTATCTTTCAGTTTTAACTTTTTAAACACAGTTTCAACAAATTTTTGTTTTTGTTTTTTTTTGTTTTTTAACTTCAGAAAGGAAAACAATGTCTGGGAGATGAGTTCTAATTACCTCTCGCAATTGGGAAACTTTAGAGGGTCCTCCCAAACCTCTACAATTCCACACACATACTTTCATTTAGACTTTTAGGACCAATTAGGGCTGGTCTCCTCCACCACAGGACTCTCATTGTTCTTAGACACTTTCACTTTTTTCTGACTTAATCCACTACTATTACCCTCTAAGTTATCTGACAAGCATTCATCCAAGTTTCTTTTGGTAGAAACCTTGGAGGGTTCTATGACAGTAGAACAAGAAATGGGAACCTAAACTACCATATCCTCTGGGATACTGGTAATGTCAAATTTGTTTTTTTTCTTACTGGACAAAATTTCCTTCTTTTTTGGACCAATTCTTTGCTCTATATTTGCTGGCTGAACTGCCACTTCAACCAGCTATTCTTTGGGAGCCAAAGAAGGGGAAACACAAAGAGGATGTTCAGGGGCCATAGGAGATACATGAATATGCATCTCTTTGCCAATCTCTGAGCTTCCACTAATGGCAGTACTGTCTACCTCTTATCCAAAGATAAAGGTGAAGGTGTGCCTCTAATGGAAGTATCATCCTTTCCCTCACTAGGGGTATAAACGAAGACAACTTTACTAGAGACTTTCACAGGAGAGTCTTTATTAGTTCCACCAGTCTTATAGGACTTATAATTTCTAGCTTCATTAAAAAAATTAGAGCTGGCCTTCAACCATTCGCCAAATTGACCCAGTTTAAACACATTATCATCTAAATCCTCTTTTTTGGCTTTACAGTTTTTATCAAAATGGCCAATGTAACCACAGTAATAGCAGAAGTGTTGGAGGTTCTCGTACCTGAAATCCACCCAACGAGTTTCTTGCCCGGATTTGAGGGTCATTCCTCTGGGGATAGCCTCTTTCAGACTCATTTCCACTCTAATCTTGAGCAGCATTCTATTAGGACTTCTTGGGCCCAGTCATTTCACATCAAGCACCTTCCCAATCACTTTCCCTATATTAACCCCTATTGCATCAGTGATCCAATAGAGGGGCAAATTGTGCACTTGCACCCAAATCTTTATTTTTTCATCTTCCGCATTGAAGTTTGGGGATGTTGGACTCCATTCCTTCAGAAGGAGATACTGACCATCAAAGGACCAAGTCTTCCCATGAAGAATCTTGTCCTTGTCTTCAGCAAGATTGAAGATGAATTGAAAGAGATTTGGCCCAATATTGCGAATAGAGAATTGTTGCTCTGTGATCCAGATGTTGCTGAGGGTTGCTTTGAGCCCACTGAAGTTGACCCTTTTTTCCCCAAATATCTTTTCTGTGAGGCTCAACTGACATTCCTCCAACCCAGTCACAAAATCCTCATCATCTACGACTAACCCACTACATTCCTTGTCAGACAACCAAAATTTCTTTAGTTTGTCGGTCAAATCGTCCTCCATAGTCCCAGCGGCAGAACTTAACGAAAGCCCAGGTAAACGCAAGACCTAAAAGGACTAAAAGGCAAGAAGAAACAGAGACAACGATGAAGTAGAGAGAACACACAAGAGGAAAACAGAAAACTGACCTGACAGAGAAACCCTAGACCCGATAGAAGAAAAACCACAGACAAGAGAACAGGAAACCCTAGACATAAAAAAAAAGCTGAAAAGACGACACCATTAACTCCATGAATTTTCCAGCGGGAGAATCCAAATTGAAGAGCTGACATCTCACGAGGGAGAAAAAATCTCACGAAGGAGAAAAAGTCTCACGAAGGAGAAAAGTGGATCCTCTTAGGCAGTCTCACTGGAGCACTTTGCTTAGATATAGCCTTTTGCGGGTGACTTGTGGTGTTTGGGAGGAGACTTCAATGATATATTATCCCCTGAGGATAAGGTAGGGGGCCTTCCAAGGGATGCTAACAGTCTTCTTCCTTTTAAGTCTTTTGTCACTAGCATAGGTGCTGTTGAGACCAATGTTGTGGGTCACCCTTTCACCTGGGCCAATAACAGGGCTGGCCAGGATTTTGTTGAGGAGAGAATTGGTAGATTCCTTTTATCTCCTGCTTGGTTACTTCAGTTTCCCAATAGCCTGGTTACTCATATCCCAGCCATGTCCTCTGACTTATCCTTAGTACCTCTAGCAAAACTGAATCTCCTAAAAAGAGATTTATGTTTGATGCTAGATGGCTTCATATGGATGGATTCCAAGATATCATATCTGATGCTTGGAATTCCCCTGTTGATGGCCCTGTAGGCAATTAAATTTTGAGCCAATAAAATGGGACAAGTGTCAAATTCCATGTCAAAGTCAATATAATAATTTTCTATTTTATTTGGGAAATTAATAAAATTTTAATTCCTAAATTAAATAGTTAATTAATTGATTATTTAATATATATTGTTGGCCAATTAAAGAATGCCACATATATATTTTGAAGGCCAATTAAAGAATGCCACATGTCATTTTCTTGGACAATAAAATAAATATTTATTTCATTTAAATAATTATTACAGAGATAAATAAATGGAAATTCATGGACCATCAAATTGAAGTTTTCTTTTCCAAGACTCTCTCTCCTAATTATCTCTTTAAATAAATATTAAGAGATAAAAATTGGAAATTATGGACCAATCAAATTGAAGTCTTTTTTTCAAGACTCTCTCTCCAAAACCTATAAATAGGGCTCTCCCTAAGATGAAAAAACACAATTCATATTCAATTTTCAAGTTCAAGAGCTCTAGAAAATTCTCTCTACGAGATTCAAGCGTTCTTGAAGATCCAAAGGCGTTCTTGAAGATCCGAAGGAAGATTCAAGCGCATTCAAGCCCAAAACTGACGTTCAATCTGGAAAAAAGCTTCCAAGCCTTTGAATTGCGTTATTAAAGTCAAAGTGCTCTTGAAGATCCAAAGGCATTCTTGAAGATCCGAAGGAAGATTCAAGTGCGTTCAAGCCCAAAACCGACATTCAATCCGGAATCAAGCTGTCAAGCCTCTGAATTACGTTATTAAAGTCAAGACCAATGCTGAGAAGATCAAAATCTACTTTGCGGCGAAGACCAAGGACTCGTGTTCATCACGTTCTTGGGAAATCACGACATTCGATTCGACATCAAGCTGCCAAGCCATCGAAAAAACGTTATTCAAATCCAAATTCAAGACCGGCGGAGATCAAACTGAAAATTCGTCTCCAAAAGTCTCATATCCATTTGAAGATCGTTCTTGAAGAAATTAATCAGAGGAATAATAGAGATTTGTAATCCACTATATTTCATTTGATCCGTTGAAAATCATTTGTACGAAGTTCTCGTGTTTATTAATTCAATAATACAAAATTTTGCGTTACAAATTTCTGGCACGCCCGGTGGGACAATCTCTACCTCTCATCTTTTTTTCTTCAAGATATCTAAGTGCAACGATGACACCTCCCAAGTCAACTTCTTCAAGTTCTGCAAGTGAAAGTATTGGTGTCGTAACAAGAAGCATGACAAAAAACAAGAGTGTATCTCCGGAAGGAAATTCCCAACAAGTTGAGGAAAATCGGCCGCGTTTGATGAACCAAGAGGTAGATTTGAGAGACGATGCTTCATCAACACCTTTCTCAATGGAGGCACATGTTATGATGATGAATGCATCAACCATTGAAGAGCAACGTGCAACCATGGCAAAAACCATGGAGTTGCTGATGAAACATGTCCAAGAACAAGACTCCAGAATTTTAAAGTTGCTAGAAAGGGTCGACAAAGCTGAGACTAGCCGTGCTGGGGGCAAACAAGATGAAACACATGAGGATGAAGAAACTTCTAAAGAAGATGAGGTGAAACAAACTGAAAAAGTGAAGTCTTCGTAAAAAATCCATGTTTCTTCAAGTGGACTCATTCCAGCTGACTAACTCAAAGAATTCATCATGGGAACCATCAAGGACAAATTTGACTGAGGCTCCAAGTCATCTGTGACTTATTCGAAGCCATACACCCAAAGGATTCATAGCTTGAAGATGCCTACTGGATATCAACCACCGAAAAATTCCAACAGTTTGATGGTAAAGGTAGCCCGAAGCAGCACATAGCTCACTTCAATGAGACTTGCAATGATGCTGGTACATATGGAGACCGTCTGGTGAAGCAGTTTGTTCGGTCACTGAAGGAAAATGAATTCGAGTGGTACACCGACTTGGAGGCAAATTCTATTAATAGCTGGGAGCAACTAGAGCAAGAGTTTCTCAATCGCTTCTATAGCACACGAAGGATGGTCAACATGATTGAGCTCACTCATTCAAAACAGTGGGATGAAGAGCCTGTTATTGACTACATCAACCGATGGAGAAATTTAAGCCTCAATCACAAGGATCGATTGTCTGAAGCATCGACTATTGAAATGTGTACTCAAGGGATGCATTGGGGTCTCCGATACATTCTGCAAGGGATTCAACCAAAGAAGTTTGAAGAGTTGGCCACTCACGCACATGATATGGAGTTAAGCATGTCTACAAGCGAGGTAAAAAATCCACCTGTCTATGAGCCTCAAAGATTCGAGGACCGAAGTGAAGCCAAGAAAGGGGGCAAGTTCTCCACTAGAGCACCTAACAAAGAGGTCAATGAAGCAATGATAGTCAATGCAAGACCCATCAAACTCAAGGGAAACCCAAGTAAAAAAGCCATGGAAAAGAAAGAAGTCCTTCAAGATAGGGGGCAAAGAAAATTAAGCTTAAAAGAGATGCAAGCCAAACAATATCCTTTTCTCGACTCTGATGTTTCTGGAATTTTTGACGATTTGATTCGGGAAAAACTCATTGAACTGCCGGAGATGAAACGACCTGAAGAAGCAGGATAAGTTGACAAGCCAAAATACTGCAAGTATCATCGTCTGGTAAGTCACTCCATCGAAGATTGCTTTGTCTTTAAAGATAGAGTTATGCAACTGGCGAGACAAGGCAAGATATCGCTTAAAGAGGACAAAGGGACTGCGAACTTTGCTTCAATTGTGAACTGCGAGGAAGGATATGAAAGTTTCACGTGTAATGTAACGAGCGAGCAAGATGATGTCCCAAGTAATGAAGAATCGACTGATGAAAAAGAACGATATGATCATGAAGACAACGATGCAGGAGTTACCTTCACGGATGAAGACTTGTTGTTGGGCTCAAAACCCCATAACAGACCTTTATTTGTAATGGGTTACACTCGCGAGAAAAAGACGAATCGCATATTGATAGATGGAGGTTCTGCTGTGGACATTTTGTCTCTACGTATTCTAAAAGAGCTGGAGGTCCCGATGGATGAGGTCTCAAATAGTCGTTTGATGATTCAAATCTTTAACCAAGGAGGGCAACGAGCTCTTGGCATAATTAGATTGAAGTTAGTAATCGGTGACATTACTTCAAATGCTCTTTTCCATGTGATAGATGCCAAAACCTCTTATAACATGTTATTGGGACATTTTTGGTTGCATAAGTATGGAGTGGTGCCTTCTACTTGGCATCAATGTTTCAAATACTGCCAAGATGGTCTGGTAGTTGGTCCTATCAACGGGAAGTCTTGAAACGCTATTATACATGAATGTACCTGCATGTACCTTTAAAAAAAAAGATAAAAAAAGAAGAAATAAAAACTCCTGACCCGCATGAGTATAAACTGTGAACGATAATCACCAAAAAGTTTTGCATGTGATTAAACGGCTAAATTCTCCACCAATGTGAATATAAGTGGTTAAACTGTTAATTCTCCACTAAAATGTTATGTGGTTAAACCTAATACTCTACTTTGTCTAAAGTAGTTAAAGAATAGT